CTCCTAAGTTATGTCGGGGACAACAAGGGGAACATTAAACATCAAGGAGGTACCACCAAAATCAAAACTTGGCTTCAAACCCAAACTCAAAAAATAGCCGAAAACGGATTATAATAAGGGGGAAAGGAAGATCTCACCAAGGCCTACAATAAACGTTAAAGCACTATAGCATTATCACGTGGGAAGAGGCCAAAAAAATAAGAAGAAGGGTGGCAGCCCCTTGACTGCCATGGCTGCAGGACAAGAGGGGAAAGAGATGAGAAAATCTGATTTTTCATTTTAAGTCATCCTATTTATAGAAAAACCCTAAAAGTGTCCCGAACTAGTTCTGCAGAATCCGAAAAAGTGAAATTTAAGTAGACGCACTCAAACGGAAAAACACCATGAACAAAAAAGAACCAAAATGAGATAAAATGAACAACAGAAAAGACGACGTCAAAAACTGAATCCCGTACAGAAAGATATGCCTCAAACAATTTCGGCGGTAATTGGGTCAAAAACCCTAAAACTGGGAAAATAACCAGAAAACAATTCTAAGAGTACATGACTCAATGAAAAGTGAAAATGAATCCATACAAGGATCCAGGCTCAAAATGAGGCATTTTGCAATAACTTTCATTAATTGCATAATGGCCCTTATAAAAAGTGATAACTGCAAAACTGGCCCAAAATGAAAATATTTTCCAAAAGATATTTTCTTAAAAACCCCTAAAATAAATATCTTCAAAAGATACTTATGAAAAATACCCCAAGAAACAAAAATATTTCTAAAGAATCCTTTCATCTACGCCCCTACGAGAAGAGGAGACAACCGACGAGCTTTTCTCCAAAAGTAAAGTTACACGTTTCAAGGAAATCAACTGGAATGAAAACTCATGAAGTCAAAACTCAACTCCGAACATGAAAAGTGAGGTTATGCCAACAAAGTGACAAATGGGAAAAAAAGACGAAAAGTGAATAGTGTCCAAAAAATGAAAATGTGAAAATGACGTAGTCCTTTAAGGAAGTTCTCGATCCAAAGAAAAGAGTCTTGGAAACCATCCTCGAGCACTCAAGATGACACCAAGTGATGAGAAAACGAACTCAGAAAAGAAAAGATCAACGAAAAAAAAAAAAGATATCCGTAAAAAATCTAAGAAAAAGGAAAAGAAGGAAAATGATCAGGTCATTACAACTTATACAAAATCAATAAGTTAAACCAAACTTATATCAAATCAAATGATGCATAAAAACCATCTTCCATGCACAAGTAAGGTTAAATCCGCACAAACCATATCCTAGAATTCAAGTCTAAGTGGCATATGATATGTCAAATCCTTAATATACAATTTATACACAAAGAAAAAATATTTTACAACAATTAAGGCAAATTACCACCCTAAGCCACAAGTACTAAATAAGTTATAATTTAGTAACTAACTTATTAGGTAATCAAGTATAATTTTCTAAACAAGCTATATATACCTACGCAAGATATATTTAAACAAGCTTTGCAAGACAATGATATTATATATCATGCTTAAGAGGCCACAAGTACTAATTCTACATCTAATTAGTAATATATTCACAAGGTAGTTAAATGTACTAAATTTCAAGAGATTGTCATCTAAACATGAAATGTCGCTAAAATCAAATAATTTAGTAAATGAAACAATTTACTCATGGCAAGATAAGCATGTACTCAAGGCTTTTAATTATCATACAAGCTATATAAAGCATACAAGTTATAATCTCAAGGCCACTAAGAACATGATATCTCTACACATTATATATATATAAGCTAAGCATGCCTCTAAATCTTGAATTTAGCTACACAATATATATATATATATATATATATATATATATATATATACACACACTACAATTTGGCAAGCTCTACATATATATACACCAAATATGCTTTTAAAATACTAAACCCTAAGTCATTTCAAGGATTTACAATCTATATACAAGATTATGATTTAGTAAGCATGTAAACAATATATATAAAGCTCCAAAAACACTAAAACACTAAGGAAATAAACATACAATAACCCCTACCTCACTTGAGATGAAATCTCAAATTCCACCGAAATGGAACAACTCCAAATCCTACGAAACTTCGGGGTTTTGTTAGGGACAACAAAGTGAATATTAAACCCTATAGAGGTCACACCAAAATCCAAACTTGGCTTCAAACCTAAACTCGAAAAATGGCCAAAACGGGATTCCAATCAGTTGGAATCGAAGTCCTCGTCAAGGCCAACATTAAAGCCTAAGACATCACCGAAAATATCCAAGGGGAAAGAGCTCAAAAGAGGGGAAGGAGCTCAAAATAGGGAAAGAAGAGTGGCTGCCATGGTTGGCCAGCCAAGGAAGAGAGATGAGAGGTTTGACTTTTCTTTCTCTTACCCCCTATTTAAAGAAAAACTCAAAAAGTGCCCCGAATGGGTCCCGCCCGACCCGGAAAAGTGGAACTTGAGCAGACGCACTCAAACGAAAAAATACTGTGAACGAAAAAGAATTGAAATGAGAAAAAATTAACAATGGAGGAAGCAACGTCAAAAACCGAGTCCCGAGCAGAGAAATATGCTCCAAACAAGTTTACCGTCAAAAACCAAAAAATTAGGGAGATCGACCGCAAAACAATTCTAAAAGTACACAACTCAACGAAATATGAAAATGAATCCCGTACGAGGATCCAAGCCCCAAGGAGACACTTTGCAATTAACTTTCATTAATTGCACAAAGGCCCCTATACAAAAAGATAACTGCGCAAGTGACCCAAATGAAAATATCTTCCAAAAGATATTTTCTTAAAAACTCCCAAATCAAAATATCTTGAAAAGATATTTATGAAAAATACCCCAAGAAACAAAAATATTTTTAAAGATACCTTTCACCCACGTCCCTACGGGAAAAAGAAACAACCATTGAACTTTTCTCCAAAAGTAAAGTTACGCGTTTTGAGGAAAATAACTGGAATGAAAACTCATGAAGTCAAAACTCAAATCCGAACACGAAAAGTGAGGATACACCAAAAAAGTGACGAACGGGGAAAAAACGAAAAGTGAATAGTGTCGAAAAAATGAAAATGTGGAATTGACTCGGTCCTTTAAGGAAGTTGTCAATCCAAGGGAAAGAGTCTCGGAAACTATTCCCGAGCACTTGAGACAACACTAAGTGACGAGAAATCGAACTCGTAAAAGAAAAATTAGCGAAAAAAATTTATTCGTAAAATTTGAGAAAAAGGGAAGGAAGGAAAATGATCGGGTCATTACAGTATGTTACTTTAGACGCCAGTGTAACGTCGGGTGAATGTCATCTGTAGGTGCATTCACATGTACATACATGGACACTATGGTTCTTCTTTCATCTAATTTACTCAAATTCTAATACATTTAAGTAACACTTATAGTCTAACCTGATACATGTTAATTTAATATTTCCAAGTAACATTTACGTTGATGTTTAACCTGATACATGTGAATACTTAGGTATGGATTGGGCACAAAATTGTGAAGTAGCCTTAAAAGAGGTAAGAAGACTTACAACACATGAAGTTTATAGGAAAAATAACAAGAAATACATCCCTTTGGTTTTTTAGTTAGACGAAAATTTATGATGAAAAGTGAAGTGAAAGAAAGTGAAATAAAGGAAAAAGAAAATTAAGTATCTAGCACACATTTGTTTAGGAGGAAAATTTACCTAGAAAGGTGTGAAAAATATTATTTTATTAGTTTAGAGACCATGAAATAGAAAAGAAATTGATTATACCAACCAAAATTACCCTTGTAATTTCAAATACTTGAAATAAATAAAATTGTGTTACATCAGTCCCCTTTGTACACCCAATTATTTATATCTATTTTTTAAAACAAAATAAATAAATACTGATAATAATAATAATAAATTATTAAAAATAATAATTTAATTATCTATATTAACTTTTAAATTGTTTATATGTGAGAAAAGTTTTAGCATCTAACTTTCAAAATACATAATAATGCAAATACTTAGAAAGTTACCTGACAAATTTGTTGAAAAAAGGATATATATAACATAAATTATGTATCACTATTTAAATATTATGGATAATAATAATATATATATAATTATTATTTTAAAACAATAATATATATATATATATATATATATATATATATATATAATTATGTGATAATGTATATTATACTAAAATAAAAATATATACAAAGATGAAGACGCACCCATTCATGAACCCGACCCGACAGTGAAACCCAATTCAAAATATTTGTTTAATAAAAAATTAACTTGGGCTATTTATACTCTTATTAGTTTCATTTTTTATTCAATGTGGTGCAACCACTTCCCACATTTTGCATACCCAATATTTCATGTTTTATAAACTTATCAAAACAATTTACTTTGGAACTAATTTCTTATTCACCCAGAAACGGATTTGAAAAATTAAATATACAGTATTCACCTCCTTGCGGAAAGGAACGGGTTCCTCTATAGATCCACAAGAATTTCTTAGCGGAACCTACTCTAAAATACACCCAAAGTTTATGTTTTATATGCTCCGTTTCCAACAAAATTTTCTTTCATAACGAGTGTTTTGAGTTATTGTCATATACAAGTCTATTAAAAATCTACAAACGAATTAATCACATCTACAAATCACTAATTAATAAGGGGTATAATAGAAAACTAAAATATAGAGTTACACTTTCAGGAGGAACTCAAATTTTCTTTTGTTTTATATAGGAAACATTTTGGGGGAAATTAACAAAGTGAAAATTTTAACCTTCTAATCAAACTCATAAAAAATTTAAAAATTTTCCTATTCTTTTCCTTTCCTTTTTTTTTTTGGTTAAAAGGGTAAGCTTTATAAATAAGAAAAATGTACAACAACAAAGCAGCTAATGAAAAGAGAACTTCCATGGCTTAGAACAGTACAAAACACCAATAACTTGCACAATTAATAGAGCTAATACTAGTCTGAACCTAATAAGAGTTGCAATAGACGACTCTACTCATTGTTGCAGTAGAAACCATGATTGACCTCTAGCAAATGCACATCCTTGTATGAAGAGTTGTTGCATGGCTTCCACGCTGCCAATCTTACTCAATTCAGTAGCATTTCTTAACTTGAGAGAAGCAAATCTAACTCTGATGCAACCTTTGATGAGATTAATGATTTGGTAGGCAGTTGCAAACTTGTTCCTGAAGGCTCTTGAATTTATCTCATGCCAAATGAAGTAAATAGCACAGGAAAGAAGAAGCTTGTGAGTGATGAAGTGTTGTTGTGTCCAAGTTGATGAGCACCAAACAATCAAGTCCCTCCATGAATTTGGTTTGATGTAAAAACCTGTAGCATGCTGTACAAAATCCCAAATGGTACTACTGAACTTGCACTTGAAGAATAAGTGGTCTACAGATTCACTATCAGTAAGGCACACGTAGCAAACATTTGTATAGTGTTTCTTCATCATTGGCATTGTGTCTAGTGTTTCTAATCTTTCTTTCAGTGTTAACCATGCAATATAACCATACTTGGGAATATGGTGTTTAAACCATATTAAGTGAGTCCAAGCAAAGACAGGAGAGGGAGGAGAAAAGTCATCCAAAATGAGCCTATAAGAGTACTGCTTTGTCAAACTGGGGAGCCAAAGAACTTGATCAGTATCACTTGTTGGTGAGGGGATAGATTGCAGCTGAGAGATGAAATCTTGTGATTGAAAGAAATGGATGTGCTGAAGAGAAGGTGGAATCACCCACTGATCATTGAAAATTAGGCTATCAACTTTGACCTGGGGGTCCAGTTGAAGAATTTCCAATTCAGTTAGGTTGAGCTGCTGTACAATAGGGCCATTTGGTAACCAAAAATCCAACCACATGCTGGTGCTACTCCCCTTCCCTACACTGTGCTTTACAAGTCCCCTAACCATGTCTCTCAACTTGAGTAGCCTTCTCCAAAACACTGAACTTGTGCTTGTTGCCTTTACTGTCCAAAAAGATTTTCCTTTCCTTTCCTCTACTTTCATCTAACAAAACACACCCGGCACTATATCCATTTCTACCATTATTAACCATATACCATTTCCATCTCTCCCATCACTAAACGGCAATGCCACCTGCCAAAGGGAGGTGTTTTTACCTCTGGGATTATTTTTGGGCCCTTTTGGAAGGAATCCTATATCAAATAAGAAGTTTAGACAGAACAAGAAACTAGATTCCTAAACTCTATCAGCATTTGGAACCGGTAGCCAGGAAGTGGAACCGGATCCCAAAGGATAGAATGTATTCTGCGCAATTAAGGTTCCTGAACCGGTAGCACAAGTTTGGTACGGTTCCCACTTGATAGAATTGACAACAAAGGCAAAAATTATATTTTTGGAATCTTTGAAGAATTTGAAACTTTGAATAAACATTGGTATATATAGTGTCCTAAGTGGGAAACAACTTCCTAAGGTATTCTTCATATCTTTATCGTAGATCATAGTTCATCAAACTTGAACAACTTTTTAATTCCGTAACTGATCTCGATCTTAATTTGGTAACTTGAAAATTATAATTCGATCAGACTTGTTTTGACACAAAAATTAGCCAATTATAAAAATTATATCTCAAATAAAATGCTTGATGTCAATGAGGAGTACCCAAATTGATGTGTGGCCAAAGCCGCTTCTTATTAATTATTTTGTATGCATTAAAGCATAGACAAGTGGCCCAGTGGTAAACCGTAGACACTTACACAGCACTAATTCTACATTATGCTTCAATATTCGTGATACGGAACATGATTATGATCTTGATCATCCCCACCCACCAACAATCCCCAATATAAGAAATATATATATAGATAATTAAAGTTTTTTTGGCTGCTTCAAGTTCTTCTTCAGTTCAAGTTGGCTTCCTTTAGCATGGTTTTGACCTCATAAGATATAGCCCTGATTTCCTTCACAGAGCTACTGACAAATTTAAATGGTCCATCTTCTATATTTGTGTCAATATAGCATTGTTCACAGTTGTTAACTGCATCGAGGTTTTCATTCATGTATCCGCTCACCTCCTGGTACCAACTTTCGCCCTGAAAGTCCTTCTGAGACATTTTAAAATATTTTGAGTTGGCTTTGAAGATATCCTTGCACAATATAACGCATTTGCCTTCCTTCTCGGATGTATCGGGTTGGGCAGAACGCTCAACGCAATCACTCACACCTGCCAACGCAGCTCCATCCCCATGGTTCAATAATTCAAGGAAGGCCTAATGGTCAAGGGAGACAGTTGCAGCTGCCTCCATTGAGAAGCAGGACCAGAGGACTAGAGAAGAGACAGCAACCACCAGGAGCTTGTTGACGAGCTCCATTATTGTCAGGGCAGATGGACCACAATACAATATATGTTATTAAGGAGATGAGGAAGAAGTTTTGGGATGGAAATCAAAGGCTAGAGAGGGGGTGTTTATATAGGGTAAAATTAATATTAATTGCATGGAAATAACCTCTTTTTTTTTAATCACTTTACTTAATTTGGGTTAAAAACATGTGGCTTTTCCTTGCCCATACTTTTTCATTGTACAAGTTACAAAATTTCAACTCTTAACTATTTATATACATATACTGTTTCAAAGTTCAAACAACTATCTGTCAACTGTCATGTATAGTATGTTTTTTTCTTTAAATTATAGTATATGCCAAGAAAGCCATTCCTTCCACTTGATGAAGGAGGCATATGCTATTTTTGTATTCATTCAAATTTGGATTCTATAATTATGTGTGAATGTATTTATTTTTAATTATGTGCTATCTATTGTAAATATCGTGTAAATAATTATGAAAACAAAATAGTCTTGGTTCCATAAGCATACTACTAGTACTAGCCTTTTATTGTATGAGTCATACATTATTATTATCAAATATCAACTGCTCATACATTTTCATTATCAAATATCAACTGCTTAACAGCTTAAGGGGCATAAAGCGCACACAAATAATTTGTGAATAAAAATTATTGATATGTAAAAAGCATGTACAGTTGATATGTCTGTGTGAGTGATCCATCCATTTTTTAGCACATATTGTTAAAAATGGTGATCGTTTACGTACATGACCTATTCTGAACGGAATGTGATAAATTTTAATGGATTGGTGTAACGGGTGGGCGCTTGCCCATTTATCCAAAAGTTCGAACTATTAGGTAAGGCTACATACCCACCCATTTATACCCAATCTCTTTCCCATCCGATTCCGATGTGGGACAAAATGACCCTTGTTACATTCTCCCCACCCAAACTCGCAACGCCCTCGTTGCGGTTGGGCCACCCTGCCTACCCGGGTGGACTCACCCGGACGCCTTCCGGGCCGGGCGCTTGGCGTGGCACCGGATCAAGGACTGGGTTTGGCTCTGATACCAATTGTAACGGGTGGGCGCTTGCCCATTTACCAAAAAGCTCGAACTATTAGGTAAGGCTGCATACCCACCCATTTATTCTCAATCTCTTTCCCATTCGATTCCGATGTGGGACAAAATGACCCTTGTTACAATTGGAGTAGTGTCTGGTAACGAATAGACACACGTAATAGCAAGTCATTCATTTTTCATTCTTCTCTTCCTTTCTCAAACATAAACCCAAATGAACCCAACACAAATGGGTGTACGTTCAAGTCATATGTCAAGTGGTCCAAGCTACTTAGAGCAAAGAACAATATGGATGAGTCATACTATTTCAAGGTTCATGCATTTATAGTAAATTTGATTTCATATTCCGCTTTCCCTGTGCTTGGCTGAATCGAACCCCTTGTGTAAGGTGCATCCATTCCATTATGATTGAAAACCCGAAAGCTTGTTGTTTTGCTCTTCAGCCCCCGATTCCCCCGACCTCCTCTTCATCCTCAACTAATCGAGTTTGCACCCACTTATTTATTTTTGGAATAAAGGGCATGCTAGTTGTAGAGCGCTTGGTCAAGTCTAGTATTCTTTAGCTCAATTTTTTTTTTTTTTTTTTTTTTTTTTTTTTTTTATTTGAGGAGACAGAAAATAAGATTGTTGTTAGGGTTTATAGAATTTACTATTGGGAATCTGATTGCAATTTTTTTTTTCAGGGTTTTGGGCATTAATGGTTCTGAGAATTTGGGAACTTTACAGTTATCATGATCAATAAAAAAAAAAAAAAAAAAAAAAAAAAAAGGTCCGTAGTGGAACCATTTTATTCCACACAAAAACTTGATAATAGAGTAAAATACCAAGTGAGCCAGCTGAGCAGACATTCGCCTCCACAGGTCTTCAGGTAAAAACCATTCATAAGACAACCACCTATTTTGCATAGTAGCTGAAAATTTACCCAAAGAACAAACCCTCAACCGCACTGTTGGGATTTTTATCAGTTACTCATTGCAATAATTATTATTTTTTAATTTAAACCTATTGTAAGTGTTAAAATTATGAGCATCCTTGTAGCATGTTGGCTATTCTATTAAGCTTATATTAGCAATGTACAACGGTCAAATAAGATCAAAAAAAAATTTTGGGAACTTTTGCTTCTTTTTTTTCTTTATTTTATTTTTTATATATCATGTGGGAGGTAGATTTAATTCTCATTTATCTACTTTAATCCAGTATGGGAGGAAGCTTCAGATTTTATTTTGTACATTGTGGGCCGGGGTTCCATTTTTCTCTTAGTATATCACTGTTCACTAATATTTGGTAAAGCAAATCATTGTAATTATTGCATTCGTTTTTTCTTTTTTCTCTTTGAAGTAGGGCTGGGGTCGATTTCAAGCACTTGCATTTTCTTCTTTGTTAATGATTTTGCCTTAACTTCAATTCCATTGTCCTCTTGAAGTTTTGCCGTTTCGAAAGTTTGATGTTAATTTATTTATGTTTTCGTGTGTCTGATATAGACAGCTCATTCTTAGAAGTGTCCCATTTTTTTTTTTTTTTTTTTTTTTTTTTTTTTTTTTTTTTTTGGCGCTAATGTTCTGTTTGCCTAATTGTTTCTAACATTTTGTTATCTAGAGACATACGGGAAGCTTCACGCTAATGGTGAGTGGAAAATTTTTGGTTGCTAGAGGCTTAAGCTTTCAAGGAGAACTTATTTATAAGGTGAGTGATATATGTGCAACTGTTTATATCTTTTTTATTTTTATTTCGTCAAGAGTGAGGTGGGAGAAAAAAAGGAGAAGATTTGTGAGATGCAGCAGTACAAGGTCATTGATTAAATTTTTTTGTCATTGGTTAATTTTTTTCCTGAATGGCCATTGGTTAATTTTGATTGTCTAAAAAATGAATCATTTAAATTAGATTTAAAATAGTTAACATTAAAAATTCTATAAAACTAACTAGACGGTTAAAAATAAAGTTAGTAACTTCTTACTTGGTGTAATGTATAGTTTATAGTAAAAAACTGGTAATGTGATTTGAGTTACTAAAACTCATCGTCTAATTCTCTAACTAACAGAAATTCCAAGTTAGTAAGGAGTGACAAGCTTATAAAAAAGTAATATAATCAGCTTTGTTTCACAAAGTAGACATTTTTACTTGATGTTGATTTTTTAAACCTTAGTTTGTTAGTGATAAATCTTAATTGTATTCTGTCATTTCTAGTTGTACTTAACTCCTTGGAGTCTAAGCTTTCTGATCTGACAGCAATGATTGCTCAATTTATATCACCCCAAAATTATCATCGTTTATGGTAAGTTACTTTTTGTTAATAGAGCTAGTTATATTAATTTTTTACCTCATTCAAAGATTTGTTTGAGTCATTTAACCACTTCGAATTATCTAGGTCAATGAGAATGAAATTTAGTCTCATTTTTTTAAGAAGAAAATAAAATTGTTAAAAAATTTCTTAAATAGAATACCTATCAAGTTAAAAGAAAAACCTACAAAGGCAAATCTTTTGCAGAATAGCAAGCAATAGATTTTTATGATATCTAAATATGTCAAA